AAGCTCGTAATACCCTAACCCGAAACAACTAGAGGTCGAACGGTTAGAATATCACCAAGGTCCATCGGACTGGTTAACCCAAAAAATTTCTTTAAAAATTTTGTAAAACATCATATAAAGATCATTCGGTAAAATGTAAAATCAAATATAAATAGTTTAATTCACATCGAGGAGCTCCCAAATGAATACATCAAAATAATACAATTGAGAATTAGAAAATAAAGTTACGACTCAAATACAAGAAGGTCTATCAATAATAAATACCCTCTAAAGAATAAGACTCAAGATTTACTCTGCTACTCGAACTGTCTAGAACTTCTGCTGCGCAATAAGCTCATCGAATGCTCCTTCTAAGGACTTGCACACAGAATTTCTGAACGTTGAGCTCACTAGCCCGCTGTTACACTAACAACTAAACCATACTAAAAGTGTTCATTGTACTACAAAGTTTTCACTTTTGCTTAGTTGTTGGAGATAAAGGAAATGATGAAGAAGAAGAGAAAAAGAGAAAAGGTATAGTTTGGAAAAAAAAGAGATGAACGGACGTTTCAGCTTTTGTTTTTAAAATTGATCTAATTACTCTTTTAGTTTTTTCCCTTTTATCCTAAGATTAAAAATATCATTTTTAATATCAAATAGGCCCCAAACCAAGCCCAACTTATAACTCAAATGGAACAATCTCTTCGACAAGGTAAATGGACTCGCATACACCATCTTGGATTAACCCGAAACTTTTAGCCCGATATTCGAGACGTTACAAAGCTGATATCGTAGTCAGAAAGCTTTTCAACAATCAATGATAATATCTAAAACCAACAAGATTAAATACAATTTATTAACACATTAGTTACTAATGTGATCAATAATAACATAACAAAAATATCATAATTAAAATATTTTTATGATTATTTGTATACATGATAATAAAAGAATGAAAGATCAAATCCATATTAAACCAATAATCTAATTGAACTAATGATGTGATTAAAGCTTTACAATGAGACATGAGACATATAACAATATTTCATTGATAGATCAATACTCTTATAACACCATTCCTAGGCAATAATACAATGAAATTCAACCAGCATAAGTACACACTGATATAATAATTAAGTAGACAATATACAGAGGGATTTTAAAAGCATTATACTTACTTTACCTTGAATCCGTACACTGCGTTAACCATAATACAAATAGAATAAGGTGAAAGGAAAATGGGAACTTACGATAACGACGGTAATAGATGAATAATTCTTTGTTTGTCCAATGCCCTAATAAAGTTTGGTAAAATGTGAACATTCATGAACTACGAATGCAAAATAAATTGAGGTCAAAAAGACGAACATGCCTAACAAATCACTTAAGAATCTGAACCAAAGTAAAGATGACATAAAAATTAAATGAGAAAGTAAGCAGTAGGTAATGGTTCCGACTAGGGGTGTAAACGAACCGAGTCGAGTTCGAGTATTGCTGAACTCGACTCAACTCGAAAACTCTGAAAGAGAGCTCGATTCAACTCGAAAACTCGCGAGCTTAAAATTTTCAAACTCGGCTCAAACTCGAAATCCTGAACTAAAGCTCATGAGCAGCTCGAAAAGGGTCGAAATGAAAAAAAAATGAAAAAAAATTCTTAAATTTAATTCGATTGAAACTTTAAACTCTAACCTGAATCTTAAATATATGAAAATCTTACTATATTTTTAAAAAAAATCAATATATTAATATTAATATTATTAATAATTTATTTAAAAAATAAAATCTTAATATATTATATTTTCGAGCTGCTCACGAGCTTTTCGAGTCGAATATCAAGTAGTTCGTTTCTGTTCGTTAAGAATTCGAGTCGAGTCCATTCGATCCGAGTATTTATCAAACCTTGATCAAATCGATCTCAAATAACTTGTAATCTGTCTCGTCTCATTTACGACTCTAATTCTATTCAATGGTCAAGTATTGCAGCTAAAGAAGAAAAGGAAGATAAACGATTGCTGTTATTCTTATAAAAAAACTAAATAAATTCCGCTTTTAATGTGATTTGAATTTTAAAATTAATTTAATCTAAAATAATATTTAATAATTTATTAAATCTTAAAAACACGGACGGAAGATGAAAACATTTACAGCTCAAATACAAAAAGGGTTAATTACTCTTTGAGTCCTCCAAAATTTTAAAATATTCATAATACAATAGTGGTGGATACCGATGCATATCATTAGCTGTGAACATCGGTGAATGACATTCGTTATAGACTTATCCTTGGCCATTATTAAAAATCTAAACTAATCGGTTGCGGAGCTCAGAGAAAATGAAGTTTTAACCGTTTAAGAAAATATCTCTATTATTTTCCTTCTTGAAACAACTCATGTAAAATACTCCTCAATGCGCCGTCTTATATGATTTTAAGTGGGGATAGATATGGGTCGGGTTTTTGGTCTATCTCACCCGAGAGCAAGAAATTCTCCACTCGAGATCTGATCTAACCTGACCAAAATAATATTTCACCCGACCCGACCCCGACCCTATATATAACTTAAAAATTCGACAGACCCGAAATAATAAAAATATTATTTTTATTCAATATAAACATTGACTTAATTGAAAAAATAATATATAGAAATATATTATTATAATTATTCTTAAATATATAATGTAAAATTATATATTTTTTTAGTCGGGTCAGATCAAGTATTTTCACTCTAAACCTGAACCTAACCAAACCCGACCCAAACCTGAAATTTTTTAAAAAATCTGATTAGACGGGTTAGATCAGAACCAATCGAGTTCAGGTATCATGCACATCCCTAATTTTAAGTAATTTTAGAGTTTATGATTTTTTTGAGCTGTGGTAGACGTCGCACGTGCCTCCCAACGCGTGGTCTTCTATCAACGTATGAAATCCAGTTTGAATCTAACCCATACCTATGCTCGACTCATACCCATTTCGACCTAGCCCATGGAGCATGCCGTTTTGTGAATCGAGACTTGTTAGGCTGGCCCTGCTTGGCCCAATTTGTCAATCTTGAGCCCAAGTTTTTAAGACTAAAATTGTACCAAGCTTAACCAAAGCCTAACTCAAATTGAACTGGTTCAGTCTAAGTCGAGTAGTAAACCATTATCGTTGACTTTGACATCTATCATCTTTTCTGTTGACCTCGATTATGACATTTTTCAACACATTAATTTTATTTTTTTGGTATTTTTTTAATTCTATCTCAAAAGCCCCAAAATAAGTTCATCAACTCAAGCATAATTTTATAACTTTTTTTTATTTCATTTTGTTTAATAAATTCTGGATAAATAACTTATTTAGAATTATTTATGAAGGTATTCGTGTTTCACTTGATTGAGTATCAACTAGATTTACTTTTTTATAGCGGCCGAATAGCGATGTCACGACTGTTATATCGCTGTCGTGGTGGTGTCCGAAACCGCTAACGCGAAAAATAACGGTGTGAAGCGGGATCACACCAATAGAGACGGATCACGGCCAATCTTGACAATAGTGGACCGCTATTCCTCTATTATTCCGTTATTTTATTTTTAAAAAAAACATGTTTTTTTATTAAAAAAATTTACGATCGCGATATCCGCATTGACTGCAATAGCATATATTATATCCGCAACCGTGATAAACGTGACGCAATCGAAAACGTGACCACGAACGTTATTTAAAATCATGCTCATAAGATTACTCACATGTTTTTTTTTAGATTATCAAAGTAGAGTTCGAATTTGATTTTAATCATAAATGTAATATAATTTTTGTTTTTTACTTAAGTTCTAGCACCACCACTGACCGCGATTGACATAACATTGTGTTGATTTTTCCTTCCCAACTTCTGTAGTACAAGAGTGTTCTTGATAGTGTTATATTATTGTTATGTTTTTAATTTATATATATATTTCTTTGCATTGTAAAGAGTACACTAAATTCTGTAACTCAATCCCTAATTTTACTTTTTACGATTACGCTTGTAAACTTTGAATTTGACATCTAGATGATCTATCGTTTTTAGTTTATTGTAATACTTTTATATGCCTTTTTGTTTATTTTGGTGACGTGGAATTTTGTTACTGACCATGTATTTACATATTAGTTAATTTTTTTTGAATTAAAGAAAGCCTAAGACAGACTAAGCATGGCTAGTGGCATCATCTTGTTGTGCAACGGCTGATTCTAACCCAAGAAGGTCAACAAGCTCGTCTGGGGGAGTCAAAACGAATCAAACTGAAGTGGTTCTAGGGGGCAAGCTTTGACATCTTATCTGCAATCTTGTTCCCACTCCTGCTTATCCATTGGATCTTTGTTATCCAGCATCCATAACGTCGTTGCTTCAGAATTACACGTAATAAAGGAATATGACTATCAATGACGACACTAACTTCGACCAGTTTGACTGCTCTGCTACAGTCGGATTGTATCAATAATCTAAAAACCCCAAAACTCCTTACAATAAATAAACCTTCATAGATGCTCCAGAGTTCTTCGAGGGCAGATGTTGTTAATCCAATGTTAATCCATTTGTGAATTAATTTTAAAATATTTATTGAGAAAAAAAATACAAGGGATCTTCAATAGAAAGAAAAAAAAAAGGACACCTAATTGCGTAAAGCATATGGGATAAATGATCATGGGAATATTTTTTTAAGTAAGTTGCCGTTTAAATGAAAAAAAAAAAGAAAAAAGAGGGTAATCACTCCACCGCATCCGTTACCACGATAGTCACAATACACCCCGTTTTTACATCAAGGCTTGACGGAAATTATGAACTTGTTGTCAAACAAAGGTAAATCTAACGGTCATTATTATACATCGAAATATATGATGGAATACAGGAAGATTTTTCATATATATTTTTAAATAATTTAATTTTCCGGTTCTGATTTAACGCAAAAAGACAGCACTCTATTATTTTGCTCACTAAAAAAACATTTTATTATATAAAAAAACTCTCTCTCTCTCTCTTTCATTTGCTTTCGTTTTCCTCTCTTTCATTCATTTTAGAGCTTTCGCTCTGAAAACTGTCACTTATTAGACGGGCTATTCCCACTCTTCACTTGTAAGTAATGTTTTTTTTTCGCTCCTTTATTTTGTTTTTATTTTTGAAGTTCTTTTTTGGGTGTTTTGAGCTAAACATTTAGATTACCTTGATGATTTCTGGTGATTTTCAGCATTTGATTCGTTTTTTCTGTTCAAGTTTGGAACTGGGTGAAGCGAGGGTTGCCCGGTTTTTAGCGTTTAGAATGTAATTTGAGCGTTTTTTTCTTCATTTTAACCACTTTTTATCATATTAACTTATGGGCTATTTTTTTTAATTTTAGGGTGTGATGAATTTAGAGAAGGGATTTTGATTTGCGTTTTTTTTATATAAATTGTCAGATTTTAAGTTTTTAGGCTTTGCTAATTCTTTTGAATTCGGTCCCCCTCCCCTTTATTTGGTTATATGAGTTGGTTCAATTTGTAGATCCAGCTTGAAAAACTGCGTTTTGGGTTTTTGAGATTGAGTTTATATCTCACTTTAGGTGCAAAAATGGGTATGCAAATCTTGGATCTGTTTTTGTATTAATAAATTGAGTGGCAAGGTCCCCTTTTTGTTTGTGCAAATAGTTCAATAGCTGCTCAATTTTTAGCTGTAAAATTGAGCTGGGATGCTATGTTGATTAATTAAAACTTTAGAAGTAGTTTTGGACTAAATTGTCTATCTTGGAATGTGGACCAATGATTAGTTAGGCAATAAATTCAAAATTATGACATATAGATGTGAAATTGAAATTAATGCAGCTTGTATGGATGCTTTTTAAGGAGGAAGTTAATGCTGGAAAAATTTAAACATCCTAAGATTTTTGCGGACTAACTCATTCCGAAATTTAGTATACTTGTTATCATTATCATTCTGAAGCTTTTATACTGGTTCTTACAGGATGGTGTATTTTTAGAGACTGCAACATGCTTTAATTGGCAAACACAAACATATGTCCCGACTTTTTGCTTGTAATATAATCATGTTAAGGAAAAAGTCGATGGACTTGGTTGAAATTTAATGTGTTAGCAGCAAGCACGACTACTAATTTCGAAGTCGGTAGTAATTGTAAATGATATCTGGTGTCAAAGTTGGTGGCAATTGTAATTAAAAGGGGATCTTGTGCTCTGAATTTCCCCTGTAATACGTCAATATGCCTCCATGGTGGGGAAAGTCTTCATCTAAAGAAGAAAAAAAGAAAACAAGCAAGGAGAGTTTCATTGATGCTAATAATCCTAAGCTTAAGATCACATCTGATGAAAAATCCACTAGCAGATCAGGGGGTTCTCGAAGAAACCGTACTGGTGCTGTTTTGGAAAGGGGATCTCTCTCTCGAGTCCCATCACCCTCCCTGCTAGTATCACGTTGCCAAAGTTTTGTAGAAAGGCCTCATGCCCAACCACTTCCTCTTCCTTCAGGGCATCATGCTAATGTTTTACGTACTAATTCTGGAATTAATGCATCAACAAGACCAGGATTTGACAGAGGTTCAAAGCCATCTCTGTTTCTACCCTTGCCGGAACCTGGACAATTAGCTAAGAAACTGGATCGTGTAGATGGTGAGGGAGATTTTGCTACTGCTTCTATTTCTAGTGATAGCTCTATTGATAGTGATGACCCATCTGATTCCCGTAGCCCCCTAACTTCTGATTATGAGAATGGACAGAGAACTGCAGCGAACAGTCCATCTGGGTGAGTTTTAACTGATATGATATCATTTAAACTTATAGTGTCTGTGAACCGTCCTGCTTTATGTCATCCCTGATCAGCTATCATTTTAATTTTTATGTAGCACAAAGCACATGGATCAGTTGTCTTTTGTCAACCAGGACACCAAAGAGATACTGAAGCCAGCTAATGTATCTTTTAATAATCAATACCTGTCCACATCACCTAAGCGAGGATCGGCAAACAGTTGTGTGCAGAATTTGCAGATTCCTCAACATGGTGCTTTCTCTAGTGCCCCAGACAGCTCAATGTCGAGTCCTTCTAGAAGTCCAATGAGAGCATTTGGTCTTCAGCAAACTTGGAACTCTGGTGCTGGCACAGGAAAGCCTTTTTCTGACATAGTTTTCCTGGGATCCGGGCACTGCTCTAGTCCAGGTTCAGGCCATAATTCTGTTGGTGGAGATATGTCTGGACAGTTATTTTGGCCACAAAGCAGGTGTAGCCCTGAGTGTTCTCCTATACCTAGTCCTAGAATGACAAGCCCTGGTCCCAGCTCTAGGATACACAGCGGTGCCGTCACTCCTTTGCATCCACAAGCAACAGGGACTGCTGCTGAATCACCTACAAGTCGACCTGATGATGGGAAACAGAAAAGCCATAGGTTGCCTCTTCCCCCAATAACAATATCTAATACTTGTCAGTTTTCTCCTGGGTATTCTGCAGCAGCATCTCCATCGTTACCCCGAAGTCCTGGTAGGGCAGAAAACCCAACAAGCCCTTGCTCCCGCTGGAAGAAAGGACGATTGCTGGGGAGGGGTACATTTGGACATGTCTATCTTGGTTTTAACAGGTGTGTCAGAAGGATTATTGTTAATGTTCGCGACAACTTTATCTTTATATGACCATATGTGATATTGTTCCCGGCTATTTTTCTAATTATAATATCTGAGCTTGGATAAATACTTGTTAACTTTATCATCAAATTTGAATGTGGGCATTCCTGGTTCAAGGTTATTGATCATCTTGTTTTCCTAAGTGGTGGTTTATATAGATAGATAGATAGATTTTTGCAAATTTTTCTTGCCATTTTCATGCTTCAATTGTTTTCTCTCTTCATCCTTTTTCCCGCTTTCTTTCTCTTGCATTAGTGAAAGTGGGGAGATGTGTGCAATGAAGGAAGTGACCCTTTTTTCTGATGATGCCAAATCAAAGGAAAGCGCTCAGCAGTTGGGACAGGCATGTCTTTTTCTTTCTTATTTTTTTTATTATTAAAAAGACATTTGCTGGAAATTATGGTTTTAAGAACAGAAATGTATTCCCCTAATGTTCATTTAAGTTTTGATTTTATTTTGGTGTTACTAATTTTAGGTGATCTTTATATTAATGGGTAGTGTTTTGGCAGGAAATTATGCTGCTCGGTCACTTACGACATCCAAATATAGTGCAATATTATGGATATGAAACGGTGAGTTTTTTGTTGTTTTGATTGTAAGTCTTGTAAAAGGGTCATTCCTGTAATTGTTTTGTCTTCTTTAGTTCATGTTAAATATAAATAGATCAGTTTGAGCGGTTGATTTATTCTAATTCAGTTGTATACCTTTTTATTTCATGAACAGGTAGATGATAAACTTTATATATACTTGGAGTATGTTTCTGGTGGCTCCATCTATAAACTTCTTCAAGAGTATGGCCCATTTGGTGAAAGTGCCATTCGAAATTATACTCAACAAATTTTGTCTGGGTTGGCTTACTTGCATGCTAAAAATACTGTTCATAGGTGAGTTTATTTTCTGGTTATACTTGGGACTTCACATTGGGATTAAATCCAAAGTGTTAATTTTTCTGGACTAAAGTGTTAATTTTTCTGGACTATCATTTGCGATATTGTGCAATATTTTCAGAGACATTAAAGGTGCAAACATACTGGTTGACCCCAATGGACGTGTGAAACTGGCTGATTTTGGGATGGCAAAGCATGTAAGAGCACTTCATCTATAATTTCATAATGAATGGCCTTACCTACAAAATAAAAAATAAGTGATACATATGCTGTTTGGTTTAACCAAAATAGATCCTCGCATATTATATTATCTTAATTAATTTAAATTCATGAGTCATTTTCTTACAGTAAATCCTACTATCCTAATCCTAGTAAAAAAGGTAATCCCTGCAAGTTACTTCTTATTTGTTAGTATACATAACGACAATGCTCATATTGCAGATTACGGGGTCATCTTGTCCGCTATCGTTCAAAGGAAGCCCCTATTGGATGGCACCTGAGGTCTACATGGTTTTATATTCTCTATACTAAGTCCTCTTTCCTTTGTTGATTTTTGTTAATATTGTTTATCCCATTTCCTGCTTCAGGTTATAAAGAACTCAAATGGATGTAACTTAGCTGTTGATATATGGAGCCTTGGATGCACTGTGTTGGAGATGGCTACCACAAAACCGCCTTGGAGCCAGTATGAAGGGGTAAGTGAATTTGAATACACGCATGGATTTGGAATTTGCCAAAATAATAAGCGCTATCATTAATACAGAAATGTATTTTTTCCTCTTGGTGTCCTAGTGCATCACATTCCGTTCTAATGAAGAATGTTGTCTGCCTCATGAAAATGTCTCAATCTCTTATTTTCATTTTTTTTTGTTCTACTTCAAAGGTTGCTGCAATGTTCAAAATTGGCAACAGTAAAGAGCTTCCAACAATCCCTGATAGTCTTTCATATGAGGGAAAGGACTTTGTGAGGCAGTGTTTACAAAGAAACCCGTTACATCGCCCTACAGCAGCTTGGCTTCTAGAGCATCCTTTTGTGAAAAATGCAGCACCACTAGAAAGACCCATTTTTAGTGCTGATGCATCAGATTCATCACCTGCAGTTGCAAATGCAATGAGAACACTGGTATAGAAATGATTAGAAGTTTTGTATAATTGATTTTGTTGATCATTAGTATCTGTTACCGACATTGCTGACTGCTGCATTCTGCTTTTGAATTTCTCATTAGGGAATTGGAAATGCTAGAAATTTTCCATGCATAGATTCAGAAGGGACAGCTAGCATTCCATGCAGACCTTTGAAAACAGGATTAGGATCCAGGTCTCTCTCTCTCTCTCTCTCTCTCTCTAACATGGATATACTTGTTCAGGCATGTAAACAGCTGGTACTTGTAGGTGCAGATTAGACATGGATGCAACTTTGAGTAGACAGAGGGTCTCTGGCCGCTTTGAGCTTAAAATAGCTCAACTTTTAAAAGAACTAGCAAACTTGCTGACTTGTGATATAAATTTCTTGAACAATGAGAACAATATAAGGGGACGGTAGAGATAAGAAACTGCAATTTCAGCTGCCACTTCCTTGGTAGTGATATGATAGTAGTCATAGATGGGTTAGCATCCAAACAATATATAGATCACTTTTTTTTAATTTGATTCTAACGTTTTTTATCATTAGAATGCATGTTATTAGATGTTGTACTATGTTTTCATGAATGGTTATAGATTGATGGCATGCAACTATGGTCTTTTTTTCTGCCAAATCCTTTGGTCTTAACCCCCGGGATTATTGGTGTATTGAATTCTATCTACTTTCGCAATTTGATTTAGTGAAAACAAGACTGCTATCTAGATTTTGACATGACAACAATATCTGCTCTTGATCTATATCTGATCATGATCTTTTGGTGTTATCATGATTTTCATCATATATTTTCCATGCTACATTGCAGTGATGCCCATTCGCCAAGGAACACGTCATGCCCAGTATCTCCCATTGGCAGTCCTCTACTACATCCAAGGTCACCGCAAAATTTTAGCGGAAGGATGTCCCCCTCTCCTATATCGAGCCCGCACGCTCTATCCGGTTCATCCACTCCTCTTACTGGTGGTAGTGGTGCCATTCCATTTCATCACCAAAATCAGCCAATGACCTATTTGCATGAAGGTAATGGAATAATTCCAAAACCCCAAAATAGTTTCTATGCAAGTGCTAGCAACCGTTATCAAGAACCCAAGCCCAACATGTTTCGAGGGATTGCACAAGCTTCTAATGTCTCTCAAGAAATGATTTCATCAGATACTGGTGCTTTTGGAAAACAGTATGGATGGCCTGGGCATGGGGATCATAGGGAACTCTATGATGGACGGGCAATCCTGGCTGATCATGTGTCTCAACAACTTTTGAGGGACCATGTGAAGCCGAAACCAGTGCTGGACCTTAATCCAGGTTCTTCGATGCTAGGTTGAAATGGAGGAATATAGTATGCTCTGGAAATCTGTCAAGTTTCATTCCTTAACTTTACGGGCATAAGTTCAATTTTCCTTGGAGATAATTCATGCTTCTTTATGGAAGTTTTAACAGAAGATATTAGCCTGATGTTATTGGAGGCTGGATACTAGCTGCATTCATAAAATCTCCAATGGTGTCGAAGACTCTTTTGGCTTGTATTTCACCATCATATTAGGCATTCTATTGTCACTCGAGGGTAGTAGACCGTGCAGAATGGAGGCAAAGTTCGTTCAAAACGAGTACGCCTCTAGAGATCGACTGAAGCAGTTCCCGACAATGAACATCTTCCAGCGTAAACATAACTGTACATTTATTACGCACAAGAAACACAGTTAGAAGAGCTTTTCTTTTGCAATTTTTCCCTCCCTCACATTTTTACAGGTCGAAGAACAGTTGTTGGGGATTAAAGTTATGTACAGAAGGCTTTTGTCAAGATGACGTGTTAATTAAGCCAAGACTGGTTTTGGTAATTTTATTTCTTTTTTCCATCAGATGTAACAACGCAGCCAAAAACTTAATTGTGGCTGTTGATATTGATGTATCTATAGATCACAATGACAGCACTTTGTTAGAACTCTAATTTGACTTGTATTTACATTGCAACACTGGGAAATGAACTCTGTTGAAAATTTGCTAGCCTGCCATAGATTATTACTCAGCTTGAGCACAAAAATTTAGTCATACAATTTGGAGCACAAAGATAAAGTTTGTATGCATTGGCAACTCCTCTCCTATAAAAAAACTACCTGGTATTGGTCAAGGTCAAGCTGAAGTCCCACAGTCTTTTTGCCAAGTCTTCATCTTTACCCTGAATACTTGGTTGGCTTATGTTGCTGTCCATGAAATACTCTCCGCTAATGCCTCTAACTTGCGGATGTAACGCCACATAGCATGTAGTTGCAGCACCCTGCAACCGTATCAAAAGCATAGCATTAACTTTATGGTCGCAACACAATGTAACATTGAATTGTAACGTTTTTCAAGGTCACTACAAGACCGCAACTGCAGCCACATCCGCAATACAGTAACATAGTTATTTTTAGATACAAATCACATAAGATCCGTGACCGTAATTTAGTACTATGATTAGAAGTAATCAATATGCAACTGAGCTCTATGGCAAGGACTAAGGAGATAACCTCTATATAGTAATAAATTTCATCACCATTCATAAAGAGCATTACCTGTGGAATACTTTTGAGGAAGTATTTGCCAATCGTCTGTCCAACGGCTGCATCAAGGCAATACATCAGATAAGTAATTGAAAGCCGAAGTTGATAGTAGGCTTCAATCAGGATGGTGAGTATAGTTGATAGTTCTAAAATGATTCGAAGGATAACCGTTAATAAGACCATGGTGGCGCATAAGATTAGTCATAATAATCGATCCAGGATGAAGTGAATTTGCTGTAATCTCAACTCCCTCTTCCTGCTTATATCGAGAAAAAAGAAAAGCATTCAAAGATTTGAACCCGTTCGGCATGTTAATGGTGTACAAGATACCGAACTTGTCATAATTAATTAAAAATGATTTAATAAAAAAACCCGGTAAGATACATTTTCTCAGTGTTAACATACGATAACCTACATGATGAAGTGATGCAAGGTTCAAGAATTGTAAAATGCATCGGATAGCACAGGTTGTACATCAAACAGAAATTGACCATATTTAGTACCTTTAGACGCCTCGCAAGCTCATTAGCATGCAATATGTTAGCAAGCTTTGATTGTCCATAAGCAAACCAAGAAAAGTATCTGCAAATCGACAAGAAAAACGAGAAGGAAATGATCAAGAATTTAAGGAAGTATTCATCCAATATTTTACATTCCTAAGGGGATCAAATTTGGTGAAGCCTGTCATCAGTTTTACCCTGATTCATCATTGATTTGATCAAAGCGAATTCCCTCACGATACGCAATCCGGTGACCCTCCGAAGATAAATTAACAATCCTCCCTTCTCTTTTGCTTTCACGAGCAGTACGTTTCATAATATCCAACAAAAGGTTTGTAAGAAGAAAATGACCTGCAAAATAGTTACTATATCTTATTAGATTTGACATTGAGGAAGACAGACATCACAAGCTAATTTGCAATTCAAACAAATCACAATAATTTACTTATTCTAAACACATTATTACATATAAGTTATAACATGGTTATATGAAATATAATAACCTAAATGGTTTGTTGCAAACTGCAGTTCTATGTTGTCAAGTGATAGCATGAATGGAGTTGCCATAACCCCTGCATTGTTACTTTCAAGCAACAAAAGAAACTATCAGTCTTCACATGAACAAACATGCAGAAATTAGAAGAATGAGGCCGTAAACGGTTGAACTTGCATCAGTTTAATCCTTACATTAGGATATTTAGGGGCAAATTAGAAGACTGGAATTCTGATGCAAATTTCCTTACTGATGCCATTGAGCTAAGATCTAATTCCAGCACATCAATCTTAGCATCGTTTCTCTCTTGAAGTAGTGTTTCTTTCACATTCCTACCTACATCCACATTCCTTACTGCCATAACCACATGGACACCACGCAATGCAAGAACGCGTGCTGTCTCTAGGCCAATACCACTTGATGCTCCTGAAATGAACTCATATAAACACTAGGGATACGTAACTAAGAGAGAAGAAACAACATCAAAGCACCATTATAAAGGCTGTAGTGGTAATGATTAATGAATACAAATTTGTCAAGCAAGAAGTTGGGAGCTTTCTTTATGTCAAACACTAAGGGTGTGTTTGGTTGAGTGGAAAAGTGGAAAGAAAATAAACTGAGTGTAGTTGGTAGGAAAGAAAATGTTAAAGGTATAAGTTCAAAATAATGTATTTTTCATAACTTTATTTTCTAACTTTTTCTTAATAAATCTGGGTGAATTCATGGTAATATCTTTTCAAAACTCTCAACCATTTGACAATAAATCATCACACCTCTACTTGAGCACCCGAAACCTTAAGTGAACAAATCACCTAACCTATAAGATCACTTTCGTGCCTAACTCTCATTTTTCAATTCTATAAAGCAAGCAATGAATAGAATCAATTTTTCCATCTATCCTACCAGAACATCTAAGGAATGAAAAAAAATCCCATCTTTCCATTTTTCTACTCAAATTTTCTATTCTTTCAACTACCTTGCCAGTATACTAAACAAAGCCCAAAACTTTTATATATTAAAAGAAATTTATCTGCATATATCCAAAACCCAGAAAAAATTATCAGCAACCTCAACACAAAAAGATAATCAACAAGTTCACTAAATATGGGAAGCTTAAAACAGGGAATTAAATTCATCAGGGAACAAAAAGTTCATTTGTTTTCTTTTTGAAATGATTCCCCAAAACTGTTTCTCCATCAAAGAAGTTTAAATTAAGAAGATGACAGTTAAATGACGGAGAAGACAAAAACCCAGATTAAGAAAAGGAGTAAAAACCTGTAACAATGGCAGTGAGAGCAGTTCCATCAATCCCTCGAGTAACGTCCTCTGCTGTAGAATATGCAGAGAAACCAGATGCTCCTTTCCATCTAAAGAGCCACATGTTTTCTTTTGCACAACAGTTTCCAGGTAGAACAAAGATAGCTGAGTGGTAATCGGACCGCCAATCGCTAATCGATTTAGTTGGAAAGTAGTAGTAAGATTTTTTTTTTTTCCTTGAGAGTTTAACTTATAAATATCTTCTAATAATATCAAAATAAGGGAAAAAATGATAGGTTCCGAACTTTTAAAAAAATAACCGAGGCAATTGTATTAATTTTTTCTCTCAGTATAGTTCTTCAATTTAAAAATAATAATATAATATAATCATTTAACTAATATTTTTTCTCGTTGACGGTTACAATATTGATATAGTAGTTTACAGTACTGATATGACAGTTTAAGGTAATAAATTAATGTGACGAATGACATGACAAATTAGTTAAATTTATAACTCAAACATGACAGATAAATTATCACATCAATATTGTGAATTGTCAAGTCAAGACCTTGAATTGACAATACAATACTAGAACAGTCAACAATAAAAAAAATATTGGTCAAATGACTATATTGAATTTGTTTTATAAGTTGGAGGTCACATTAAGAAAAAAAACGATGACCACATTGGTTTTTTTCAAAAGTATAAGGACCTCTGATATTTTTTTGCCTAAAAATAAATGGGATAAACTACAGCAGTGATCACTTTCGTTTGAGTTTTATAAACTTTTCCTCATTGAATTCAAAAAACATAAGATTTGATCACTTTCTTTTCGTTTTAATTAAGATGTGGTCACCAATGATTTACGACCGTTAAAACTTAAACGGTTTGTTGACATGACACGATAAATATATAAAGTTAAAATTACATCATTTCTATATATATATAATATATTGATTAAGTTTTGATCACTTTCCTTTAAAAAAAACATAAGTTTTGATCACTTACGTTATTGTTTTATTAAGTTTTGTCACTTAAGTTATCGTTTTATTAAGTTTTGGTCACTTTGACATTGAATGTCGTTAGTTTGATTACGTGACCCGTTAGTAAAATGGTTTGATTTTTATTTTAACCCCTAAACTTTAGACAAAATACTGATTATGGGTCTTTTGTAAATTTAAAATTAGTTTAATGACAACATTTCAATTTACCCATTTTTAATATTTTTTCTCTCCAACCCGCAACATTGCTCATCTTCTCCCCACTTTTTTCTAGACATCTTTGCTCCATTGCAATAGCCTTCTTGTTTCTATTTATTAGTTGTAATTATTTGAAATCAAATTAGGCGGTTCTCATTTGTAAGAAAAAGTTATAAAAAGAAGTAATGGAGATCGTAAAAAATATTCACCACCACCACCACCACCTCATGATGCCAAAGATCATCAAGAATGTTTCATCGCATCTGAACATGAACGACCTCCATGACATTTACGAATATTAAACCATCGTTCACTTAGCATTGGAGCTCTGCTCCGACGGTGATTTTTTCGATCGGATCATCGTAGAAATAAGATATTTGGAGGCCAGTGTGGCGATGTGGTGCGAAAGATCACGCATATAGTAGGACTTAACAATGATTCATAGTAATCTAGAATCGAAAAAGTGATTGTTCTTAAGCAAAAACAAATATTCGATGTTGAAGATCATGGATTTTGGATTGAGTTTAGTGGATAAATTCACAGATCGGTTGTTTGGAACCAATGATTATGTTTCACCGGAGGCATTTTCTCAAGAAAAAATCACCATAAAGAGTGATATTTATCGAGTTATTTGCATCCATTGAATTGTCCTCTTGGTCCTTGTTGGATTTGGCATTTTGCAATCTCAATATTTGGAAATTGAATGTTAGTTTGTATAACTAAGATCATCTAGCTCCATTTTTTCTCTATATGTCTACCCTCTCATTTTTCTCTAAACTCGTGGTGTTATTTGTAACAACCCGAAAATATCAAAATAATATTTAATTGGAATTTGAAGATATAATTGTGTTATTGGTGAAAATTTGGGGACTAAATTGAAAGATTTTAAAACTTGAAGCTTATTTTAGAGTTAAAGAAAATTCAGGGACTAATCTCTGAATTTACCCAATAAAATTTGGTCAGATTGGTGGATTTATACGTGCAATTGGTTTCTGAAAAAAAAAACCAATTGCTCTTATATGCTCCCAAATTTCCTCTCCTAACCTTCAACTTCCGACGACGATCCCGATGCCGTCCGAATTCCGATCGCCGTTTTGAAAGAACCATCGTGTTCGTTATCGAGTCAGGAACAATCTCCTCAATTTAATTGAAGCGAAACGCTGCCAAACGTCGTGAATTTCAAGTCAAAGCATCGACTTTTTTTAGCTCAATCGCCTAGAAAATCCTAAATTCATCGCCGATCGTTGCTCCGTTTACGACACCTCCTGCACCATCGTGTTCCTTGTGCCGTTCCGAGTCCGCCGGTGTCACCCTCAGTCTCCGTCGACGACGGCGCGTGGGGAGGTGAAGCGGTCAAAGTTTCCGATTTGATGAAATCGAGCTCTCCACCGTTCAAAAATTTGAACCGATCTTTGTAAGTATCTCGAAATCGCTCAAAATAATTTTTAGAAAATTTTCCGTGATTTTTATAGCCCCGGAGGACACCTCACGCTCCCACACGCGCCGCCACAGGGCGAGTGAAAGCTGGAAATCGGTTTAACCGGTTTTGACCGGTTTGACCGGTCACGACCCGACCCGTTGATCTGACCCGACCCATTGACCCAACCCGACCGTTGACCGTTGACCGGTGCTATTCTGGGAATTTATTTGATTTTGGTGCTATTATGGGAATTAATTCAAAATGGGTGCTATTTTGGTAATTAATTCGAAAAGGGGTGCTATTTCTGTAAAATGGTTGACAGTTTGTCGACCTCCTTTGACCATAACTTTGACCGCCTTTTAAACGATCGTTAATCTTTTTCAAAAATACCTATCCTGACAGTTTTTGACGTCCCGAATCCATTTTTTGGGTCCATTTTGCTAAATTCAAACCTGAAAGTCTCCAAATCGTCAGTCAAACCCGTTGACTTTAATTTTGACCAAGAATTTGAAATTTCGGAAGGTCATACTTTATGTTTTTCGACGTCCTGAATTTTATTCTGAAGTTCGTTTTGCCAAATTCTGACCCGAAATTTCCGAATCGAGCTTGTGAACCCAAAAAGGCTTAGTATTTTAGTATTTTGATTATTTATTTGAGATATGGTTAAGGAATTGATTAAGTAAGATATTTTATGAAGGTACTCGTGTTTCACCTGAGCAAGGATCAGTCAGGTATGGTGTTGTTTGTTCTTCAGATCAGTCCGAACCGCGTATTACATGAACTACCAGTAGGTTTCCGTATATTATTTAAGTAAAGATTAAGATTATTTTTTTATTAGAATTCCAATAAGGATTTTTCCAATTCGTAGGATCTAGCGCTGCAGCAGAGCGTGATCGACAAACCCAGTAGTAGGCTTCCCTAAATGATTTCTCAGACTGTTACAGGTGTGTTTCCTGATAGTGTTATATTATTGTTTTAAAGTATATAAATATATGAATACTATGTATCTGATTTCTGATTTACTGCATATTTCTGATATGATTTCTGGTTACGATATTTATTCCGTTTTCTGAATACTGATTACCCAACATCTGAATTACCATACATTACTGATTTGATTTTTGATTTCTGTATTTCTGTTTATGGTTTTCAAGCTTGAAATATTTTTATGTTTTTAAATAATTATTCATTGTTTTATACGAATACATTCATGTTCATTTCTATCAATGGGGGGAAATATTGTTGGAGGAAGATTACTACAGGCTCCTCGGCTGTGTGCCCAGAGCCTTACTGTTACTGGTTGTGCGGGGTGTATGGTTCTGGGGAACCTACACAAACATATTTTGAAAGGATGGGGGTAGTGTTCATGTTTTCAAAACATGTGCATAAACATATTTTCTTGAAATATATTTCGTTAATATGTTTTTATATACTGTTTGGAGCACACTGGGTTTTTTAGCTCATTCTGTAAATTTTAATCTTTTTCAGATAACAGCAGACCGTAAGCTAGCAGATTTGGCATCAGGAGAAATCAACTACTTTATTTTGTACGAACATATATTTTTATATGTTTTTTGGTTATGTTTGGTGACATGTATTTTATTATCGTTTTGGATATATCGTTATTACTGATATTTTGTTATGTATTATATATAATGTTTTATAAGTTGTTTTAAATATAAAGGAATATCTGAATGGGACATGTGCCCCGCTTAGGTTTGGGTCTAACGTTTAGACCGGGTCTAGGGGGTTACATTTGGTGGTATCAGAGCTTTCGGTTTTAAACACTCGGACTGTATATGGGTCCTAAACTTTGGATTTTTAAGAAATAAAAAAAATGTGTCACCTTATTTTATAATTTAAAGTTTTCTCGAGATCCCTGATACTAATCTGACAAATGTTTCAAATTCTTTCTGTAGAGCCTTATAGATCCAACGATGAATGCTGCTAGAGGTCGTAGGACAGGACGTGGACGTGGTAGAGGGCGAGTCGCTCGACCTTCTGTTACGATAGACGATCCAATATCACCACTTGATCCTCCTGCTCCGCAAGTAGATCCGACTCTTTCTCATGATGATCAGTTTACTCTTGTGAGAGACCCTCCCGTCACTGAAGATGAGAATTCTGAGATGAATGAAGACGCCATTAATAGAGTTATCTTTCGTATGTTTCAGAGAGCTGCTAGAGCCCCTAGTAATATGACTGCAGTGGAGATTTCAAATTCTTTGGTCGCTGCTGGTGTAATTCCATTCGAGGGTATTACTAGTGGACCTTCGACAGACGCTGAGTATTGGTTGGAGGACACAGAGAGGATTATGGATGAGATGGACCTCAGACCTGAGCAGAAGTTGAAGGGGGCCCTAACTATGTTGAAGAAAGAGAGCTTCAGATGGTGGCAATCAATTTCTAGTAGTATTCCGAGAAACCAGTTAACATGGGATCTTTTCAAAGAACGTTTCCGGAGTCGCTATGTCGGAGAGAGATATCTGCAGGAACGACGCCAGGAGTTTCAGAATCTAGAGCAGGGTAATATGAATGTTATGGACTACGATGTTGAGTTCATCCGATTGAGTCGCT